CTCCGTAGACTAGTCCTTCTTCTAAATATATTATTAGTTATATTAAGTCTATACGCCTAGAAGTAACAATAGTAGCACGCTCGCCGAGCTGTACTGCCGGCTAGATTTTAGGTTGGCACGACAAAGTGACGACATTTTACTAACAGTACAAGCATTTTGAATTCTACCCCCTAACCGGCCGCGCTCATCACTCAACGATTTTCTTTTCCAGGCCCACTACGGTTACGCCCTGGAGCAAAGTGGCCCTTGCGATATTTGTTATTGCTTCCCCAACCTCACTTCACCCAACACTTGCTTCGGTGCAGCTCCCAGCACTCTATCTGTGTCATTGAAAATTGACATGGCAGTGGACGAGACATCACCGTTATTGCGAACTGAACGTCAACTTCCACAGTCCTATAACGCAAGCTCGAAGAACATTGTTGATTTTGATCCCAATGGCGATCCAGAAAACCCGCTTGACTGGCCAAATACTTACAAGTGGTGCATAGTTGCTTTGCTTGCGTTGACTGCATTTACAGTGTAAGTGTAAAAGCACAAGACACCCGGCCGCCGAGCAAATTTGGGCCAAGACTGATCTTGTGAGATAGAACTTTCACGTGTATATCGGTAGTCCCGGTAGCAAGTCATATCGTCGCCGATCTCGACGGACATGCCAGTAAATCCTCGAGTGTGCTTCTGGTTACCATATGGGAGCTTGGTGAAGCAGCAGGACCGCTTTTCATCGCACCTCTCTCAGAAGTTTTCGGGCGATATCCTGTTATGAATGGAGCCAATGTCCTGTTCATTGGAGCTACGATTCTAGCTGCGCTGTCCCCAAATTCCTCGGTTCTCATTTTCGCTCGCTTCTCGACTGGATTGGCTGTGGCAAGCAATGTTCTCAATCCGGCCATCGTTGGAGACATGTTCGTTTCCGAACAGCGAGGTACTGCAATGAGTCTAATCATGGTCGCGCCTCTGATCGGTGGTGCGATTGGACCTGCTCTGGCGGGAGTCATTGCCGAGAATCTCGGATGGCAAGCAGTACTCTGGATCTCCGCCTCTGTCGCTGGACTGTGTGAGGCCATCTTCCTAACCTGCTTCCGCGAGACTTTCAAGCTGCCAATCCTGGAGCGCAGAGCGGCGAAGCTGCGGAAGGAAACAGGCAATGACTCAATCAAGACAGTTCTTGATTTGAACGGCGAGAACAAGACGTCAATGTGGGAGTCAATCATGCGGCCGGCAGTGGTTCTCTTCGGATCCGGAGTTCTCCAGGCTATGAGTCTCTTCGGCTCCGTGGTATTCACGTACTTCTACGTCATGTCGACAACTCTCCCAGACATTTTGGAGGAGATATACCAGCTGTCACCCGCCATGTCTGGAGCATCATTTATGGCATTCAGTGTTGGTTCCATCGTGAGCGTGACTCTCTGCAACCAGTTGCTTGACAGGATTTATATTCGACTTCGCGATACATGTGGCAAAGGTCTTGGTAAGCCGGAGTATCGACTTCCAATGGTGATCGTTGGCGGCTTCACCTTGCCATGGGCAGTCTTGTTTTACGGCTGGACTGCACAGGCGCAGTTACCGCTCTGGGTCATGCTTACTGCTTTGGCAGTCATGGGAGCTTGCATGATGCTCGCCTTCTTACCTTTGATGAATTATGTCGTCGACGCCTTCGGACTCTATTCTGCTTCGGCAATGACTGCTGTCATTGTCACACGCTGTCTTACGGGGACTTTCTTGCCCTTGGCCACAGAGCCGCTAGTTGAGAAACTTGGGTACGGGCTCGCATTTACAGTTCTAGCTGCGTTGAGCTTGACACTGGCGCCAATTCCGGTTTTTGTTATGAGATACGGACCACGATTGCGACAAAATTCGAAATATACGAGAAATGAGTAAATGCGTACGGGTCTGGGCTTCTCTCATTGCTGCTGCGATTCAGCGATGAGCGTTGTGAATGGAAACATTTTCATCGACATCTCCATTACCTGCAGCCTTTTGCAGATCCTTCACAGGTATATGCTGCAACAGGTCTTTGCCTGTATAGCTGGCTTCTTCCCGCTCCTTGCGAGTCCATTTCAGGATATTGCCAGAGCTACCCCCGATCGTTCCATGTTCCCTGCTGTACGTCATGAACTACCGAATGTCAGTATGGCCCCCAAAACAAACTTCTGGCTAGCAATGTTACCTTCTTATGATACGACCAACGATCACGGTTACCAGCTTCTTTGTTCTTCTCGATAGCTGGAATCTCATCTATCACTGGCATATCCATCTCGCCCTTGAGGAATCGTTCAAGGCCAGCAACGTCCTGCTCAGTAAGATCGATCCCTGCGGTCTTAGCATATCCGACGATATTCGGTCTCCAACCTGGAACTTCTTCGAGCGGAATCTCTGCGGGCCAGTTCGACCATCTGAGATGCAACGTCAAGACTAGAATATCAACGCTGCTACTCCCTCCTTCACAGGGAACCATCATTTGTGTGTTCGAAACAAGGAACGAAGCTGCGATGGGGTTTGATGGACGGTAGAGACTTAGCGCGGGACTTCGGTTCGCCGAAGTGAGACATGCACTCTCGAAATCTGTACCATAGGCAATGACCGCCGCATCCTCCTGTGGCCTTTGCAACGCATGGAAGTAGAGCTTGCCGGCTATATGGGAAACATGTGAGTAAGTATTCCTTCACTCGCCCGAATGAAGGAGCAGGAGACCGATTGAGGACATCGATAAGCATGACAATACCACACGCAAACAATTCTGCGGTCTCTTCAGACCGGGTATCGACCGCGAGACATACCAAGGTGACCAAGCAACATGCCAGGTCAGAGGGGCTTATGGAAAAGTCGGTACTCACGGCTGTTGGCAAGCCTTCATAGACGAGCGATGTACTGACATTATAAAACAGAAGGGCCCAGCAGCATTTGTACTCGTCGCGTAAAGTTGCGAAAACGAAGTTCCTTGGCCTCCTCTACCTCGCACTGCCATCAATGGTTCTCGGCTGGTTCGCAGGTGTTAGCCATGTCCATGTCCATACTGCCTTGCTATTGAGAGTATTGAAAGAGGAGTGCCTGTTTTGTGCATCGAAAGCAGTTGATGTGGGGTTAACGTGACGGTTTTGATCGAAGTTGTATTCTTTTCATCGAAAGTGTCAATGTGGAACCAGCTTGAGAGGATTTGAACTGACTGAATCGTCGAGAAGACACCTTGCGCGCAGTCGTGGCAGTAGTTTCAGGGTGACGCAAGAACAAACCTGCAAGTCGCTAATGCTCTGCGCGTTACTTCACTCGAGGATCGCATCAATCTGGAGCACGGACCTAGTTTTCATTCATTCACATCGTCTTCCGCTTTAAAAAGTCCCATTCCCTCTCGATTTCTCCCCAACGACACCGGCTGAGCAGACGTCCCATATTAAATCGACTTCGTGGTACTCTCTGCGCGAACACTGCGGACCTGAGGCCTGCTCAAAAGAACAGGACACCGATACCTCTAACGCCAATAGACGCAGACCAGCATGTCATCTTCCGATGAGGACGATTTCATGCCGCTGCCGCAGGGCAGAGACACAAAATACACTAATGAGAAACACGAGAGGTTCAAGCGCCAGATGAAGGCAGATCGCGCGGCCTCGAAGAAAGCTGCCTGTCCCCAGACCTCGACTCGCGCCCAAAAACATGACAAGGAGACTGCACCAAAGCCGTCGCCAATAGGGCAGCCTAAGAAGGCTCAGTGCTCTCGTGTCAAGGAGGTCCCGGCTCGATCGATAACGCCACCTATTGCCAATAGGTCGATCAGTCCGTCGGATTCTAGCGGAGTCCAGTGTGAGCAGCTCGAACCAGCTCGCCCAAATGGCCTCGATCAATTGCTCCAGGGCGATTCAACCAAGCAAGTGAAGACTAAAATCGTGAAGACGAAGGTCAAGAAGGATTCTGTTTCTCCTGAAGAGTCGAGTGTCAACCAGAGAGCGAGAAAGCTGTTTTCTCAGGCGAAGCCATGGGAAGCGTTTGAAGCTGGCGAGGTTGACCTGAGCACCGCTGACAAGATTCGGGACGAGAGCACTGCTTGCAACCAGCTTCTGGCTCATGTGAGATCTGACCCGCATTTCAAAATCAGCAAGACCATTCCGTCATATTACACAGACACTTTGTATGCGTACACGAAGGACTTGGCGAAGCTCCAGGGATAAGGCGATGAGCGGCGAGACAGTGGACGCTGCATTTGCGAAGGAAGATTCCAGGAGGCCACAGAAGGGAGGAGAGACGGAGCAGCAAGATGTCTCCATGGAGCGAGGACAGGTCTATTGCATCTCAGGGGGATACAGATAGCACCGCTCTAAAACAAGGTCAGCCTTTAGAAGCATCAACAGGCCTATGGCAGCCAATCTGAGCTAAGCTCATATCTCAAGCCAAATATATGTCTCTTTTGTTGATTATCGTTCGCGATTTGATCTCCATATCAATGGCTTGAGGCCTCAGTGTTGCCACTCGCGGAGCGGTCAGAACGTCGCTCAAACCATCTTGTTCTCGCATCCTTATGTGTACTGCTGCCGTTCCACTGAATGCCCCCGTTTGGTGGCGGTGTTCCAGTATGGCATCACGCATCGCGGTAGGATCAGGCTAGAAATGTACCCCGAAGGAAGGATCGAAACAAGGATCTATCATTAGTTACGCCCTATCACGCCGGATAGCAAGGGAGTTCATTCAATTCATTGTGTTATATTTTGATGAACTGTGATGCGTTCAAAGATGAGAGCCGAAAGCGAAACCTTGTTGCGAGGCTTGGTTCTGTTCACTCCCCTCTCCTTTCACTCAAGCCACACACTGCTGTCGACGACACCGTCACCTTCAGCTTCTGATCGCAGAAGCATGCGGACCGGCCGCCTGGTCTTCTGTCGATTTTAGATGACAGGAGATCCCACCGTCAGTTCCAGAGCCGGCCACAATCTTCGATCAACACGAGCAGAAGTCGAGCTTTAGCCCGATGAAGGATGGACATAGTAAATTCCTGATGAGTTCTCCAGGCCGAGATGCTTCAAGACCCGAAGCATTGAGACCGGCCATATCCTGTTCGCCTGCGAAGAGAGGGGAGTAAAGGCTCGGGATGGTTTGCAGCATCCGCCAGCGTCATACAACATGCACCTGAAACATGTCTTAGCTTTGTGGAATTCACACACACGAGATGGCTTTCGATAACGAGACGCGGCGAAGTAGGGCTCGATTGTTCTGCGCCCATTATGCTCCGGTGAAGGATGGCGCAATTGCTATGCTGAAAGCACATTGCAAGGCTGTATGATCTTGGCAATACCCATACCCCTCCCGTATAGGAAGGTGTTTGGCGATGGAAGAGGTCTGGATCGTGGAACTCGTAGCATGGCGAATTCCCTTTCCGTGCCTGTGGATTCGACAAAGAAATGCCGCTTCTGACTCCGTTAAGGCTTGTCAATGCTCCAGATGCACAACTATATGCTAATGGCTTGATCGCTACCACTATGCAGACGTCCTTAAGTCCACGCGATCGATTTGCAAATAGATGACGCCGCTGTCTCAGTCATACCACAGAGGCAGCCTGCGTCGAAATTTCCAACCTCTCTTCTCCTTCGAGATCAGCTCTTCGACCACTTGGTATCCCTTTCGTCGGTGGGAACAGGACTGCTGAGATCCTATCTGGACTGCGACGCTCCACAGCATCGCTTCTTCCTTCCACGGCGCTGGAGCTTTGTGATCAAGAGTCAGACGAACGAATTTTCGCGCCCAATGGGATTTTGGAGCTCGTATTGACCGAGCTCAAGTGGTACGGGCCCGAACATGTGAAATATGATCGAGAACTTCTTCAGTTCGCATCATTATGAGGACGTGCGAGACTAGTAGCTAGATCTTCGCTTGACAACTCAAACATATCGAGTGTACGTGTCGATCTCTCCCGTGCCGCCGTGGTGAGCCACGGTTCACGAGCGACGGCTGCTCCCATAACGGCACGAACGGCTACCCACAGCCTCACGCAGGAACAAGGCGAACGACTGCAATCCATAAGCGGAAACATGAGAACTGCGCTGCATCTTCATTGTAATGCCCGGTGCTCTCGCCACGTTCGATAGGCCTGGCTCGCCGTTGGGTTTAAAGCTTGTTGCAGCCGTTATATGGCAACCGGAAGACTTTCTTCATGTGTGCTGGCAGCTCTAAGCCCGTCTATCTGGGCCCGGCGCAGGCACGGAACCCTCGTTCGGCGCATCTCTGCCACGACTCAGTGTCCGATCTGGAGATCATGTCTGGGTCATGTGCCGCTTGGCATGCAGGCATATGATAGACCTGATGCTGCAGCGCAGAACCAGGACCAGTCACGACATCATCGACGTCAGATCATTCCGTGGTATTGATAATATTGAGGCAAGGGAAATCAGACCTCAGTTCAAACAGCCTACAACATGTTCGAAGATTTCGATCGAGCTGCCTTTGAGGCATCCTTGAATCACAACCATGGGAAATCATACGAACGCCGACGAAGCTCCATATTTCCAATCCGACATTCCAGTGTCAATCTCAACATCCTGGAGTCGACAGTAGAGATCAGCGTGGAGAAGAAAGCTCCGATGCCCCCGCCCAGGAGGAAATTGCGTGTGCTGGCACTACACGGTATGACAGTGGAGTGTCTTGTGCGCATTTCAACGCTGACCTTTACCAGGCTTTGGACAAAGCGCAGATTTCTTTCGAATGAAGACCAAGCGGCTGACGCAATATCTCGAGTCGCAAATTCAGTCTGACCTGCTCGATCAATATCCAGAAGGAATACAATGGCTCTTCCCCGATGCACCAGTCAGGCTCACTGCCGAGACAACATTTGGCGTGCCTTCGGAAGACATCGACATGAGAGCATGGTGGACAAGGCTCGAATTTCACGTCCAACTCGAACAGCTTTACAACAGTCTCGAATACCTTTGCAAGTACCTGAAGGAATCTGGCCCTGTTGATGGCGTTCTTGGCTTCTCCCAGGGTGCCTCGATTGCTGCCATGCTCACAGCACTCTGCGAGGGCAGCGTTAGGCCAGAACGTGTTGAAGCACTCGCCAATCAAGGTCTGCCCTTGTTCATACCACCACCCCAGGCTCCGTTCAAGTTCGCCGTGCTTTGCTCTGGCTTCAAGAACGCACCACAGTTCTACGCTGGGTTCTTCTCTCCAAAGATCTCTACGCCGACGATGCACGTCATCGCCGAATGGGATCACATGGTGAGCGCTGAGCAGTCAGCCGCCTTGATCGATGACTGCGAGGATAGCGTTGTGATCCGACACTATGGCACACATGCGACCCCAACAGATAAAAACAGCATGTACGAGATGAGTAGATTCATGGGCAATGCCGTCACCCAGGAGAACACTACTGCCATGGACGGCGATGAGACATGCCCTATCTATGCTTTGCCTATGCCTGGCCTGGACGATATCGTGGAGACTGAGGTGACAAAACACACTGTCACTGTGACCACCATCACCGAGATGCCATTGCCATCTGGATCCACCACGCCAAATCTCTCAGATGGCAGTTCGATCGGATCCAGCCCTACCAGTGACTCGCCACCTTCAAGTGTTTCGGGACTTGGCGGTAGGAAGAAGATGAGGAGGCTAAGATTCGCGAGGAAAATCATTGTGAGAAGAATATAGGATGGTAAAAGAGGAGGGAATGACTTTAGCGTTAAGCGAAAGGGAACGGGAACGACGAGGCGTTGGGGGGGGGGGGGGCGCAAGGCGTGGTTTGCCATCTGTACACAATTTTCCGACCTTGCATTTTGGCGGCTCCTTTGGCAGCATGCCATGTAGTATCGCTACTCTTTCGTAGTATTATAACGTGTCTATGACGAAAGCCCTCTCAACTACGCACATGTGCCTAAAGCGAGGTCGTCTCGATCTTCTTGCTGCGACGCTCATCTGCTCCGATCTCGTGGCCAGCCCTGCTGCTTCTATTTGCATATTCTTCAGCATGGAAGCAGTGGGCGACTCCGCTTTGAGTCCTAAAATTCCTATCCGCAAAAGAGAGATCGCTATTTCTCATAGCATATTCGTCTCTGTTCACTCACAGTCTGAAGCATAACTTCAGTCTGCAGTAGCCGGCTCTACGCGAAGTCTGTACAACGACGATTCAGGCAAAGTCCCAAATTGTCCTTGACAGCTCACGAACGCAAATGTGTGATTCTCACCGGATTGATAAATCTTGTAGATAACAATCTCATCTCCCTGGTGCACGTTCAAGTGTCCTGGTGAAAAGAAGGCCGTTCTGGCGCGGAATGGCCTGCAGATTGGACGTGCTCGGCGGAGGTACTCTTTCGGCACCCAGTGACGTTCACCTCCTACTCCTGACCATGGCCATAGAGTCACCTTGCATAGACACTGATGCTTGGTCTCATCGAAAGCTATGACTAGGTCGCCAGACTTCAGTTTTAGTCTGCCGTACCTGTAAGGTTGGAGCACGATACAGACACCAAGGTAAGACTGTGGTTCGCTGTTCCAGGGCTGTTCCAGTTGTTCAGAATATGTGTAGTCTCCTTGCGTTGTCTGCTCAGACTTTGATTTCACGCTTTCTCGATTGAAGAACACCGGAGACTGACCCCCATATCGATATTTGCCATCTATCCGAACCAATTCTCTTGCTCCTCTTGTCTGTGACTCTGTGTGGGCATCAAGTGTAGTTGCCTTCGACCGCGAACCGCTTCGTCGATACTGAGAGACGTCCCAGCGTTGTGATGCTGGGATTGGACAACGGGTAAGTACTAGATCCGACTTCGAAAGATTTGTAGCTGAAGCGTTCGACGCCGAGGTTGTGTTGGTGTATTGGTTGAAGATGAAGTAATAGTTGTCGCCGTATTGATCTCCGTTGTGTTGCCTGGACTGTTCCCTCGCTACTGCCCACTCATGGTGAGATCTGTAGGTCTCCACATCGTCGGATGGTGTTGGCATCCCGGTCTACGAACGCCGCAGCAGTCCTGTATGTGTTTGATGGAAGAGGAAAGACAGACATAACGACGAACCTACCTGCCAAATCGTGATTCACAAATGCACACCGCGCAGCCTTCCGCGCGATTACGCGTGACAAGAAGAAGGCAGAATCTAGGTCAGGCGTCGGGTATTGTCGTCGGCGTTCGCTTGGATCTGGTGGAGCACTCGCTAAGACGAATAATGTCACGGATCAAGCAAAAGTCCGAAAGGAGGCAAAATCCCACGCTTCGAACGCATTGTTTAGCTTGGAACAAGACATATCTTCTTGACTGTGGCCGTGCAAAATGGAAGCCATTCTCACTTGAACTGCAAATAGGGCTGCAACTCCTCCACAGCACCAAAAAGCTGATTGTCATGGAATCTCCGAGCAACGACTTGGATGTTGATGGGCGCATTCTCGAAACCTCCTTGATCCCACATTTCTTTGACATGTTGACATTTCTCGCTAAGCGGCTTGTAGTCTGCAGCATACTCAGTCGGACTAACATCTGTCACGCCACCGAGATGCTTCATCAACATATCGGCCTGGACAGAGATCGGCAGCTTATCGGCACCTTTCAAGGGTGGAGCATCAGATGATTCGAGTCCAGGAACTGGCGCATTCGCAGTCTTGCTTGCGGCCAAGAACTTCCTAAGCTCGTCTGCCTGAGCAGAAATAGGTAATTTGTCCGATATAGGCGATTTGCTTGGGACTTCAACCTTGATCGGCGTTGGTAGAACAATGCCTGGATAGTCGACAAAGTTCCAGAGCGCTGTGTAGTTCCAGTAGAAAGCCGTATCGTGCTTAGATGCTGGTCCGACGAAACATGGAGCGATGACGAAGTCAACATCCTGAGATTCCCAATGCTCAATGAAAGCTGCTCGATACTCATCGCGGTCAAGGCGCATTTGTGTGATCTCAGTGGCAGTCTTCTCCTTCTCTGGACCGTCCGGATTCTCAAAGTCTGAAGTCACTGGCGACAGGACAACTTTGGTAAGCGCAAACATCGGCTCGCCACTTGCAGCGAGAGCTTTCTTCGAGTTGAGGCCCACGTCTGGCCAGTACATTTGTCCAATGAGACGCATGGCCTCGTCCGCTCTATATGGCTTGAAAGGCTTGAGAACAAAGTTTGCGTTATTAGCCAGCTGCCGTTGCGCCCAATGCAGAGCCTTCAGCACGGGCGGCTGGGGTGTGATGACTCCATCATCAAGCATAACACCAATCTTCAAAGGCTTCGCCATTGGGGTTTTAAGACCTGTCCACGGAATAGGAACAATGCGAGGGTCGTGCAGGTATTGTTTGGCACCCACGAGAACCTGCATGAAGAGATCGGCATCCCTGAAAGTGCGACACATTGGCCCAGTAGAGCACAAAACGTTCAGCTCAGCAGGAAAGCCAGCTGGTATAAAGTCCTTCATGGTGAGAGTGTATGATGTAGGCTTGAAGCCAACGATACCGCAGAATGCTGAGGGTCCTCGTACAGAGCCCCCAATGTCAGTTCCAAGGCCGAGGACCGAAGCGTTCATAGCGATGAGAGCAGATTCGCCACCGGTAGAACCGCCAGCTGATAGATTGATGTTGTGCGGGTTGTTGGTCCGGCCCCACCAGGAATCAGTCTCCAAGTGCATGATTGACTGTGGCTGAACGTAGACTTGTCAGCTGAACGGAAAGTCTTCTAACGTGGACTGTCGACATACCTGATTCGTTTTGACGTAGAATATTGCCCCTGCATCCCGAAGTATTTGGACCATCAGAGAGTCCTTTTCACTCTTCACTCGAGAAGAGAGGTATCCCCATGCCGAGTAGTGTCCAGCGAGCGCCATGTGCTCTTTCACACTGACCTGAAATTGACCACGAAAACATAAGCTGTGAGGTCAATCTGTCAGATGCTCTCTCAAAGTGCTTACAGGAACACCGTGGAGGGGACCAATAGTCTTTCCATGAGTTGCTAGATATTCGTCCAGCTGTTTGGCTCTTTCAATGGCCTCATCCTGGAAGTACTCGGTCAAGCAGCAGGTAAGTTGATGGGCAATAGCTGCACGTTTACAAAAGGCTTTCGCCACTTCCACGGCAGTCAACTTTTTGTTTGCAATCGCAGAGGCCAGGCTGGTGGCATCGTAGTCCTCTGTGATACTAAGCTCTTTTTCAGTCAGAATTCCGCTCGTTGCGGGAATGCCAGTGACATCAGTAGGCTTGTCCTTTTCCCTGAATTGATCGATCGTTGTCTTTGGTAAGTGATAGTCTTTGGGTATGGAGTCACCGAGTTCATCAACCAGCTTCTTGCGTGCTTGCTCGAAAGCCTCCGTCCCAGCTGGCGAACCTCTCGTTTGCACAATCGGCAATTTCGAGTTCAGACTTGCTGCCATATCGTGGTAGGCGCGCAGTATGTTCGTAGTGGAAGTTTGGGTTATCTTTGCTGCTCGAGGAGAATAATGCTCGCATCTCCGCAAAGCATCCGGTCTCTGCTGATTATTATTGAATGTGGTAATTTAATCTCGACCCCGCCGTCGGTCACCAGGCACAAGCCCAGTTGATGTCGTCGAGCTTGCTAGCATCCTGGTGCTTCGAGATACCGCGGACCGGGATCAGCATCATCTACGGTGCCGCTGTTGGGTAACCTTCGTGAACTCCGCACTCGTACAGGATGGAGCAGGCTCATCATCTCCATGATTTTCTGACTGTTCTGCTGGGCGTGATTCCTGTTGTCCGCTTGTACCATTCGGCCGCAGCAGCAGCTTGGAGACAGAAACTTTGCATAGGTAGAATATGTCAGTGAACGTCTCGTACAGTGCTTTCAGTTTCCGCCATGCGCAGCTCCAAGTATAGTGCGCAGAGGCTGCTTCCACGAGCAGTCAATGGCCTTGTCGATTGTTCTTGCAATACCCTCTCTCCTAGAAAGTAGCAAGCGCCATTGTTCATCCAGCTTTTCCCACTTTTGCGCCTTTAGCAACCTCCGTAGAGCCATTCTTCTGATTCTCCGCACGTTCGAGGCACCATTCGGTCGGCAAGTTTGATATGCGGCCACTGCAGACGATTGGATTCTGTGCGAGAAGTCTTGCACTGTCAGCTCTGAATAAAGCCTACTTCGTCTCAAAGAGAGCCTCTGGCTGGTATGGTGAAGTGTCCGTATAAAAGAGAAGGGGTTATGACTGATAGCACATGATTTTGATAATTGCTAGTGCTCTGCGTCCAGGGACTCCAAATATATCACTTTGCACATTCTCGGACTGCATTTGTCTTTCGTCTAGAAGCATGTCTAATTTCTACAACAGAACTGCTTTTGCGTTAGAACTACTAGTCCTCTGGATCGAGCTCTACAGACAAGGCACCCTGGTATTGTCGAAGCCCAACTACTAGATTCCTCGCTGTTCGATTTCGGGCTCTTTTAAGTCCGTATACTAAGAGTCTTTCGTGTCTATAGCCTAGTCTCTATATCGTAGCGTTTTCTAGTATGCACTAGCAGTTTTACAGATTAGGAGCTACTATAGTACTAGACAGGTAGAATAGAAATTAATATTTTTATATAGTTATACGATTGTAGTAGTAGCACCTGAAATAGTCTTTAACTAGATCTTACTAGGAAGTGTTGTGGACCACTATCGCGTTCCAAGACTGGCAGCTTGCAATGTATTTGTTTTGATTACTAATCGTATATATATCTCAACTACCGAGGCTAGTAAACTTCAATAGCTAAAGGCTCTTAGACTCTATAACTATAGGCCTAGGTATCTTTATATTATATATAATATAGCTATTTATAAGGTTCTAGGAATACGATACTAGTTTTAGAGAATATTATAATTTTAGTTTCTATATATATCTATACCCTAGTTTATAAAGGAAAATTTACTAATCTTACAATTCTAAATTATAGTTATGCTTTTCTAAGTTATATAGTAGTTTGTTCTAGCTATAGTATATAGTTTAGTAGGGCTTAATATAAGTACTAGTATCTAAGTAGTAGTTCGCTACTAGTCTAGACGCGCGCTATTAATTCCCTTAGACTCTTAATTAGTAGGCTTTAAATATTTAGTTAGAAAATTAAATATATCTATAGCAAATACTAAGTACTACTTAGCTAGTCACTATAGTAAGAGAGAATAGAACTTTAGCTATATACTAAAATAGCGATTTAGACTTCTAACTTTAGTAGTAAATTTACTAGTAGTAAAAGTTATTAAACTTAGCTTAAAATATATAAATAAAACTTAATTATTTAGGCTATATATAGAATATATACTAAAAGAATAGATATACTACCTTAGTAGAGGCCTAGATATATTATATATAACCCCTAATTACTAGTAGCTATCCTCTAGCTAGTAAGTCTAGTAGTATAATTCTTAGAGATTAATAGCTTTAAGCTATACTATCTAGCTATTATAGATTTAGCTATTATACTAGTTATTTCTATTACTCGTCCTCCGATAAATTATATAGTTTAAAGTATAGAATACTAATTAAAATTACTAACTTCGAAATAGAGATAGTTCGATTAGTAGAGGTCGATTAACGGTTCGACTAATAGTTCGATTAATAGTTTAATTAATAGTTTAATTAATAGTTTAATTAATAGCTTGATTAATAGTTTAATTAGTAGTTTAATTAATAGTTTAATTAATAGTTTAATTAATAGTTTGATTAATAGTTTGATTAATAGTTTAATTAATAGCTTGATTAATAGTTTAATTAGTAGTTTAATTAATAGTCTAATTAATAGTTTAACTAACCGTTTAATTAGTAGTTTAATTAGTAGTTTAATCAATAGTTTAATTAGTAGTTTAATTAGTAGTTTTAGTTTAATAGAAATTTTAATTAGTATTTTACTAGTAGCTAGTCCCCCGATAAATTATATAATTTAAAGTATATAGTACTAAATTACTAACTTCTAAATAGAGATAGGTCGATTAGTAGGTCGATTAGTAGGTCGATTAGTAGATCGATTAGCAGTTTAATTAGTAGTTTAGCTAGCAGTTCGATTAGTATTTTAATTACTAGTAACGGTTTAATTTAAAATTTCGTTAGTAGTTTAAGAAGTAGTTTAACTAGTAGCTTAACTAGTAGTTTAATTAGTCGTTTTATTAGTAATTATATAAATAGCTTAATTAACTATTTAATTAATAGTTTAATTAGTAGTTCGATTACTAGTTTCAGTTTAACGAAAATTTTAATTAGTATTTTATTAGTAGTTTCTTTAATAGTTTTATTAGTAGTTTTATTAATAGTTTTATTAGTAGTTTTGTTAATAGTTTTGTTTCTAGTTTAGTTAGTGGTCTTAGTACTTTAATTAGTAGTCCTATTCGTAGGCTAGCTCGTAGTCTTGGTAGTTTTACTAGTAGTTTTATTAGTAGTTCTGTTAACAGTTTTATTAGTAGTTTTATTAATAGTCCTATTAGTAGTTTTACTAATAGTTTTACTATTAGTACTATTTGAGTTATTAGTTTTACTAATAGTTTTACTATTAGTACTATTTGAGTTATTAGTTTTATTATTAGTTTTATTATTAGTTCTATTATTAGGTTTACTAATAGTTTAGCTAAGAGTTTATCTAATAGTCTATCTAATAGTTTACCTAATAGTTTAATTAATAGGTTTGTTAATAGTTTTCTTAATACCTAGTCCTACTAATAGTCTAATAGTCTAAAGTTACTAGTAGCTCTACTAATAGCTTTATTAAAATTAATAGTACTATTAGTAATCTTACTAATATTTTCGCTACGGGGACCTTTATACTAGTCGATAGGCTTTATATTTAGTAGGATATAGCTATATCTAGGTCTTTAGTATACGTTAAGCTCCTACTAAATTTTTATTAGCGTATTACGCTTATATCCGGGATTCGTTAAGCGCTTTCGATTTACGTTCTATGCTAAAATCCGGGGTAAGTTAAATTTCCCTTTAATATTTGTTTCGATTGACGTTCTACGCTAAAATCCGGGGTAAGTCAAATTTCCCTTCAATCTTTGATTGCATATTACTTCTGCGAAATTTCTTAGCCAATCATTTCGGTCTTGGCGGACAACTTGGATTTTCGCGGGCGGTGGCCGCGGTGTCTAGATTGGCAGCTGCGCTGCCAATAACTTCTATAGTTTTGAGTTTAGTTATTACTAGTAGTATTAATAGAAGCTAATCTAGAACTAGTTTAATAGAAAAATAACTCGATTTCTAGCTAGCTATAACTATTAATTAGATCTAATATTATCTTACTACTATAAAGTATATTATAGATAGCTTAGTTTATAATTTATAAGTTACTATTTTTAAATTCTATTTTACTAGTATACTATTACTAATTTGTACTTATTTGCTTATTAGGAAATATATTTAATTTATCTATTTTATATTATCATTCTACTAAGCGGCTGGCTGGGGACTGGAGGTTCTTATTAGGATACTAAACAGTACGGATTGCTAACAACATTGTCCTGCCGACACCGGATCGGCCCTAGGTCCGCAGGTTCTCGAATGCCCGGACTGGATTCTCGAACAGTCGCGCCTAGAGAATATGCGTAGGTTTCGCCATTCGCAGGGCGAGCACTCCACTCTGGCTTCCCTTGTTTCCTGACATTCCAAGAGGATGCTCTTACACTCGTTGTTGATGACTCTCGTCGGCTAGACTATTCACCAAAGCGAAGCCATTCGACGGCAAGATTTGGTGTGCACGACCAGAAGACAATACGCCCCATGTCTATTGTGCAGGGAGGTCCTCTTGTTCGACTGGGTATAGTCTGATTGTGCGCCTGGCTCTGGCAAATAAAAACAGCTGGCTTGCGGTCACCGAACGACCGACGAGCACATCTGCCAGGCCTATAAAGCTAAGATCCCTCGACTGCACTTCGCAATTTTCGTCCGCTTCTTTCGGTGGTCTATGTAGACCCTGATCAGCTTCGACGTTGCACGTTCCCGCCATGACGCCCGGAATACAGTCAATGCCAATAAGCTGTTCCGAATCTTCCGATCCCTGGTATCCTTCCTTAAAGTTTGACAGCATGCATGCCAGCGAGCAAATGGTCGGCTACCACACACATCAGCTGAACAGCAAGAAGCGGTCACCGAAAAGATACAGCACTGAAAGTGTCGTCGTTACTTCAACTTGCTCATGTATGCGGAACTTACCAGAGATCGAGGAGGAAGAATCCGATGTTAGAGTGGAAGAGATTTTGCAGGAAGATCCATTGATCGAGCTATTGGAGACCTTCTCTGGCAAGGAGGGTGTTGTAGATATCACAAAAGCGACATGGTACGCGGTAGCGGTGTGTGAAGTTCCGGACTCTGTTAAAAGCGCCGCAGAGATGCTGATGGCATTTGCTAGGCATGTGCCTTGGCTGCTTCATCTGCCGGTCATGAGGTAGTTCGACTTTATCGATTCGCTACGATTGGACATCCGTTGGAGACGCAGAAAGCGATTCAGCGAAGAATCAAGGAGGCAATCGTGAAGACTTCTATGCTGTATGGAGCTTCTAAAGCTTTGCAAGCACTATACCCGCTTTTTAAGGACTTGAAGGAAGAAGAAATCGATCATTACGGGCCGAGGTGAGTAGTTCTGGACGGAATCTGTGACTCTTGCTCAACTGTACAGATGGGATACGGTCAAGGACGATTTCGACGGAGCTCTCCTTCGACCCAAAGAGAGACAACGGGCTGGAGCAGAGTTCTTTGGCACACTCTGGGGTCCTGATGCAGCGAGACAAAATCTGGAGTTTACTTTCAATTACTGCCCGGATTTGTATGTGCAGAACATCATCACTTTGGAATGGTTCGTCTCGGAGGATGGCATCTTTCGACCGCATGAGACGTGTATGTGTACTACTGCAGCTATAATCTGCTCGAACAGCCCAGTGCAGGCTATGTGGAATACGAGAGGGATTGTTCGCCAAGGAGGGACGTTGTATCAGGCGAAATTTACTCAGCAGTTGGCGTTGGGTATTGCAGGATTGTATGGGGCCATGACAGGGAAGATTTTGCCTGTTGAGGAGATTGATTTCGATGACAAGTCATCTCATGCATAACTGCTGAATGCTTGGAACAGCCGTAGAGTGGGTGCGAGATCGATCACACTGAGTTCCGGAGCTGCTGGCTACATGTACCACAACACAGCACGTTGAACATTGATCCATTCTGTGGATGTTAACGGCCCAAGCCCTTCGATCTTTGAATAGCTCAGACTTAACCAGAACATTCCAATGTCATACAGTTGTACTGAGCAATCATACAACACTCAAAAGTGTGATATCGGAAAGTGACACGATACACGAGAATCATGGAAATTGCAAGAGTGTCAAGAAAATCAATTTTCGCAAAGCTACATTATGATACTTTCGGAATAGGGACTATTCTAGTTCATTCTCAGGCCCTTTCAAGTATGGCCCTCGCTCAACCGACCCCAATTTCACTTCCGCCTTAGGCCAACACGCTCCGTAGAAAGTGGACGAGATAATCGTATCAACATGCCCTCCGATGCTGAAAATTGTACTAGAGAAGCATTACACTTCCCATCACGATCACTCCCTTGAATGAGTACCATGGCACTTGGAACCCGATGGAGCGCCAGCAGATCGCATAGCTCGTGTAAGGCAGTGCTTAGTACCGATAGGAAGCCTACCAGTCAGGGACCACCAGTTCCCGGTATTCCACGCCGGCTTGGTGCCACTCTTCTCCCAATCTGATACGGCGCCACATCCCTTGATCTCCTCTTTGAGACGTGCAGGGTCCCAGCGTGAACCGGAGATCTTGATCCTATCAAAAGAGGAGCGGTACTGAAGAGCCGTCAGTATATTTCCCGAGGCTTAAGTGAATGTATACTGACATGGGTTTTCACGGACTGCAGCAGCTTCCTTGTCCATAGTCGGGTCTTGATCTTCTGTCTGAACAAACTGTACAGTAGGCTGAGGGAATTGGAAGACAGTCTGAGCAGGCGGAGTCACTGGCTGTCCAACACGTGGGACATCGGATGGAGTGACCAAGATCACCGTCGCCAAGGTTGTAGGAGAGGCTACAGGCACTGCATTGGTCACGGGGATGAAGGCCTGAGGAATTGTAGTGACTAACCCTGTCACTTGAGCCTGGATCAAACAGCAAGTCAGCATTCTGAGGGGCGTCACGAGAAGAAGAGATGCGCTCATACCTGTGCGCCGTTGAGAGCGGCAAAGCCCAGTGCCAAGACCCGGTTGCTGCGCATGGTGTACTGAGCGGTCGCTATCGTAAACACTGCCGTGCGGTGTTCTGAGATTTGAAGTTGAGATTGAAGTTGAGTGAGCTGAGTCTTCGGAATGTCTGTCGAGGGAAAAAAAGGATGAGATTTATCGCGCAATGCCTACCTATTCTCAAGTTTTTCATCTGGGCCGCCGCATTGCCTTGGAGACACAGATGAAATCTTCCTTTACATTCATGTTCAATCCGCTGAGGCCGGCTTCTCCGTGCTCACGATTGGTGACCAGCTGCTTGAAACCCGGCGCCTCTCGCTTCTCCCTCTGGTCGTGATGGACGCCATCCAAGATACTCAGGGCTGTGTGACCTGATCAATCTGCAATGTTTGGTGCTGAATCCCAAAGGTGCGGGACAGGATAGTTCGGGCATACAGCAGAGTATGTGCTCACCATCCAGAGCTTAGACACTGGTACTCCCCCACACTTGGAGCGTGAGAAGTGGACATCTTGGGTCACACAATGTTTCCATTCATCGTGTTGGTTCAGGAAATTGCCTGCCAAATCGCGGGATGCCATCAATGAAACCTTCAAAGTAAGATCTCCAGGTCATCCACGGCGTTTCCTGAAAAAGAAGTGTCGGGCAAACATGCTTGAGATGTTTCCCTGATTCTTAGAGAAGAGGCGGTAGCGGATGGGTTATTCTCTAGCAGAGCGGCCTGCCGAAAAACAATCCATAGGCATTGCAGTGGAATGTCAAGATGTCATCGGAGCCGGTGTGTCCTGAATCGTTGAGCAATCGCGTTTGCATCGCGTCCAGTGACGGTTTCCGTGTTCCGAAGATCAACACATTGTTTGTTGGGCGAGCACATGTGTCTGCGTGCAACATGCATGACATGAGATATGTGAAGGTGTGAAAGAGTTGCGCGGCGGCGTGGCGCGGCGTGGAAGCTTTGAATCTTGGAGGCCTGAGGCAAGCACGCTAAAGTCTTGGCACTTGGGCGGTGAATGAATGATCCGCACAACAGCCGCGCGACTGGCAGGCACCTTCTCGTGGTGCGCGGTGTAAGTAGCTGTTCGCCTACAGCGAAACTAAGACCTGCCTCTGGACACGATATCGCCGCCTCCGCCCTGCCCCTAGATACGACGCTATCGCGCCCCTGACCCGAGGCCTATCGACGACGCGACGACGGCTTTGTACACCGACGACGACAACGACGATACGGGTCAAAATACGGCCTTATATAGCGGTTTGCGCCCGCTACTTTTGGCCGTAACGATACGATCGCGACGAGGAGATTCGTTCTCGCGTACCTCGACGACGTAAAACAGCCCCTTTTCGAACGAGAATTTCGAGACGACGACGACTACGGCGTAGTGACCCGTATACGACGACGGCCTACTCGAGTACTAAGAAGGAGGATACTACGGGCTAACAGAGTCCCCGGTCTTTATACGGTTTACGAACCGCTCGATATAAAGAAGAACGGATAGGATCTAGTATCTAAAATCTAGATAATATAAGACGAGTAGCCCTCTTATACTATCTAGACGATATATACCCTTCGAAACGGCGTCTATAGATAAGGAGAAGGCGACGATCTTAGCAACCGCGCGTAACGCTTTCGGCGGACGACGATAAATACCCTATCTCTCGCTCGAGTAGCGGTAGACCTACTCGCGACGATAAGACCGAGACTACTCTAGGTTACTACTTAGCAAAAGAAGGCGAGGCTACGCGGACAGCCGCAGGCTAGATTAGGTCAAAAATCAGAATAAAATAAGGATCTCGAAGAGACTATACGACGAGGAGGATTTATACGGATATTTGTTTCCTTTATAGGGCTACTTTTACGGAGTTGTTTATATTCTACGTCTTATACGATACTTCTATATAGTTAGAGTCTGGCATAGCGCCCTAGGGCAGCTGGTCGCTATACGCGGCACTCGGATTAGCCGAGGAACGGACTATAAATGGAATCAACAACAACAACAAAAAAAAAAAAGATCCGCACAACATTCCCAGAGAAATCACAAACGCAGCCAAGGAGCAAAAGAGGGGTTAACAGGTTGCTACTGAAGCCAAACAAGAGAACCGTGTCGCCCGCAAACACAAAATCCAATCCTTGACTATAAGAACACGCACATAAGGCTCAAGCATCAACTGCTACTCTTTATGCAGTGCTGGACTTGGTCATACTTCAACGAAATCTCGTGGAATTGCTTCAATCGCTTCAATGAACTTCTCACTTCAAATTACACAACGGGGTTCTCAAGTGATTGCTCGATAGTTCAAGGCTTTGTCATAGCTCGCTCGCTATCTACAACAACGCTAAATATCGCACAGCCTCGGAATTTATGCCTTGACGGTCTCAAAGCCTTGCCAGCCTTGAAGAGCTTTCCTAATCTCAGGGCCATACGCATCAACACCACCCGCATAGCAAGTCATCTCGAACTTCTTGCCTGGCACAGTTCCGCCCATGTACGTTGATCGAGTAGTTGGGAAAAGTGTGGGCGCGGCAAGATCCTGGATGCGTTGCTTCCACGCATCACTAGCCTCCTTGGTTGGGTTGATATACTTGAGATTCTCTCGGTTGATGAGCTTGATAGCATCTCGGATCCAGCGCGTCTGAATCTCGACTGCGGTTGGGCCATTTGAAAGAAGGGTTGGGCCGTGTGGGCCGTAAAGGTGGAAAAGGTTGGGGTAGCCAGAGATGGTGGTTCCGAGGTAGGTGTTGGCGCCGTCTTTCCACTCATCGGACAGGTATGTGCCGTTGATGGACTTCAGACCCATGGAGGTCATGCCACCAGTGACCACATCGAAACCAGTAGCCAATGCGATGATGTCGAACTCGATCTCCTCGCCGTTGGCAACGATGCCCTTCTCGGTGAATCGCTCAATTGGAGTTCCATTCTTCTCGTTGATGTTGACTATCCTGACGTTGTCTCGGTCGAGAACCTCGTAGTAGTTCTGCTCAAGACTTGGTCGTTTGACACCGAATGGGTGTGGTGGCTCCTTTGGGAACAAAACTTTCTTCTTCTCCTCGTTCTTCACCCGTTTTGATTGTTGCTTGTGCCAGTAGTTGTATGATTCACGATTGACCTTCTCGTCAAACAGGTAGTCCTTGTACCCCGCAAGCCAGAGGGCGAAACCCTGCTGCTTCCACAGACCATCTAAGAACTCTTCTCGCTCCTCTGGTGAATCCTGGAAGGCATTACGCTCGCACAGATCGTAGTGAAAGCCGGAGAAGGACTTCTCGCGCATGGCGTGGATGTATGGGTAGTCTGGCTTCAGCCTGTCTTGCTCTTCCTTGGTCAAATCGCGGCGACCCATAGGCAGGGCAAGGTTTGGTGTTCGTTGGTAGACAGTGAGTTGCTCAGCGACGGGACCCATTTCCTGAATCAATTGCACGCCAGAAGCACCGGTGCCAATCACTGCGACCTTCTTGCCCTTGTATTCGACGCCCTCAGTGGGCCAGAAGGAGGAGTGATGAATCTCGCCCTTGAATGTGTCGAGACCTGGTACATCCGGGATATCTGGGATGTAGTCAGTACCAAGCCATTTCAGATATACGACCAGTATACTCACATCGCTTGGCAGAGAACCCAGCTGCAACGATCAAGAACCTTGCCTTTGCAGTACGACCATCTTGACTCTTCACTGTCCATTTGCCCTCATCCTTGTCAAATTCTGCGGAAACAACGACAGTCTCGAAAGCGGAGTCTTTGCTAAGCTCAAGGGTCTTGTCCAAGTGGTCAAAGTATGCTTGTAGCTCGTGCCAAGAGGGATAGTTCGTGCTCCAGTGCCAGTCCTTGTATACCTCTGGAATAGCCAATTCGTAGATTGGGACCGGAGAGTCCACTCTTGCTCCTGGATAGATGTTCCATCGCCCTATCATCAAGTATTGTCAGTGCACCGCTCTCAGACCTCAATTGTAATGCTTCAAACTCACAAGTACCACCAAAGCCGAGACCTGCATCCCACAGTACAGTCTTGAAGCCGCTCTTGCGAGCCTCGTACAAGGAATAGGCGCCTCCGAAACCAGCACCGACGACCAGCACATCAAGGTCCAAGTTGTCTGCGTATGGACCATCATTCCGTCTTCTCCGGCCGTACTGCCGGAGATCGGTCTTGAGAATCTTCTCGGGCAGCTCAGACTGAGATTGGTTGACCATGATGCCGAGAGACTTTGGGGTTAATAGTGAAACAGCTCTCAATGGGAAGAGCACAGCTCTGGAAGATGAAGAAAATCTGTACTGCCTTGTCAGGGGCCTCTGCGGCTTTATGAAGCTCGAGATACAGCCATCGAATGTAGAAGTATTCCCTTCCTCCGTCTAATTCGAGCGCTGCAAGAGGTCTGTCTGATACGCCAAACCTTCCTCACGACGAGCTATCTTCCAAGAATGCGGGGCTCCAGAGCTGGGGTATACATGCAAGTCTAGGGTGTCTAGCATGAGTCTGGGTCACTGTTTCGGTGTAGAGACGTAGTGGCTGGCCTATCCGGGGTTGCGTTAGCCACTTCACCCCTCGCCTGCGCTCGGGGATTTCGGCCATACGTAAAATCGCGATTTGTTAGTAGGCCACACGTAAATCTCGACGCTAGCGTACATTGTATAGTGCATAAGATAGGAAATCGATAGTGCGTGTGATTATAGTTAAGAAGCAGTAGTTTTCGAGCAAATTGCGACCGTATATACCTATTCCTATCGCCTTAGCGCGTACCTCGCATCGACTATATAATCAATCACTATACAGGTTAGCCTATATGTCTAGTATGTAACTGCCGCCTCTTGTGTGTCTTCTAGCTTAATAGGGTCGTTCTTGCTGCTAGCAACTAAGCCCTTATAACGACTAGTTTTCTTCGGATCTTCGTAGAAATACCGCTTCCGCTATACAGACTCTTAACGGCGACGAGGATGTACTAGATGAGGCTAAATTATAGTGTATATAGTATCCTTATTAAGTAGCGCCTTATCTTGTTGCAACTAGTCTAGTCGGGTATTAGGCTCTTACGCGAATAAGCCGTTTAATCGCCGCTTTAACTTAACGTTAGTCTAGGTTAGAAGGTCACCTTCTTCGTATTCGCAGGTGCGGCTCGGCAGTGATAGTGTCTATACCTAGCTCTACGTATAGGTAATGTCGCCGCCGTCGGAGGTATAAGTGTATCGCTTGTATTCGCTAATAATATTAGCGTACGGATCACCGGTCTTCTTTACCGAGTCGTTGTTAGTAATAGTGGTAGTAAGAAGCCGAAGGTCGAAGGCACGTTATAGTAGCTTGTCGATAGGCTGCAATATAACGTCTGTAAACTTAGTCTTACTATTGTTATTAAATACAATACGAAAGGCCTCGCTATACTTCAGTCGATATTAGCGTGCTTTGTTATATAGGGACTTAGCCTTACGGAGCATCTTCTAGTAGCAATTGTTAGCTATTTCCTTGTCTTGCTAAGTGAGTTGTAAGCGTAGTTTAGAAGCCTTAATCGTACTAGCTCGAATAAGCCTATTTAGTTACTCCTTCTAGCGCTTCCTTGCGCGTTCAACGAGGCTTGTAGACTTGTATTTGCGCTTGTATTCTTTACCTTTATAGATAGCCGTATCGACTGATATGTTATAGATAGCTTCTACTTACTTTGTAGGTAATAAGAAGAATAGATTAAATAAGGATAATGTAGTATCGATACTAAGTAGTGCGGTCTTTAGATAGCGACGTCGGAAGTCCTTACGAGCTTGTATAGCACTACGAGATGCCTAGATCGTACGAGGGCTAGTAGTAGTAACTAGCAACTATTATAGCAATTCGGGTATTAGCGTCCGGATCGGCTAAGGTAGTAAAGATAGCATGCCCTAAGCAATTATATTCTCGAGATCCCTTAAATAGTGACGACTATTAGCGCGGTGCTACCTATCTAGATCGACAATATTGGGATTAGGCGAACGTTTACGCTTAACCGATGCGAGGTGTTCCTACTAAGCGGTATCTGCTATTATAAGCGATTCTTCGTATCGGGCTTCCTCCTACGCTAATTCGCCCTCGATTACCTACCAGTTCCAATTATAGTCTGTAGCGCTATACTGATCTCGAATGTAACGATAAGGAACCTCTCTATTAATTAGGAACAAGCCTATCTTACGGAATGCGGCCCTTATATTATAGTTAGTAAATGTCTTTACCTAAATAGCTGAAAGGGCTTCTATAAACTCAGGAATACCAAATTCACTAATACTACGGTGTATAGCCTCTAAGACCGCTTGTCTATGCTTCAACTTATATACTTAGAATAGTATAACGTCGAGAGGCTGTATAAAGTGCGAAGTATGTAGTTGTAGGCCCTATAATTGAATTTTATAGCGCTTCGCGAAGGCCGCGAATTCCTTGAAGCAGTAGGAGCTATAATTGTCGTATAGTAGCACCCTCCATTCGTTTAGGTCCTTAGGTCTTGTCTTACGCTCAAACTAATAGATATAGTATATAGCAGTGTCGTCCGTTATATAACTAGACTCGTTAATAGTAATCAAGAAGTTGTCCTTGCCTAACAACGAGGGTGTAGTTAGCAAGTAACGTTGTTATTGCCTTAGGCAATAGACTCGGTCTCGGTAATAGACTTACCTTCTTTTAGTATCTAACGCTCTTAAACTATTATACCTTTAACAATCAATTGATATTCAATCACCTCGCCGTACGCGTTAACGGTCTCGACTACGGTTATATGCGTACGATTAGTATCGCATTTAGTCTAGGCGCGCCGCTTCGTGTCTATTGTAACTACGTATTCGTTGCTACTAATACCAATCCGAAAGCCGGTTTCGTCGAAATTCTATATGTTCCGCGGCTTTATACCTAGTCGCTCTACTATCGCCTTAAACCGATTAAACTACGCCCTTATCGTTGAAGGGTTATAGGCTTCCTTGCGCTGCTTCTTAATAGGTTTAGACTTTACCTTGCTAAGGTTATGCCGAGCTAGGAATCGTTTAGCCTAGTTACTACCGAATAGTAGTATAACCTTATTAGGCGACATTCTCTTTAGTATGTCTATAGCAACAACGCTAATTAGCGCTACCGGCAAGAATATCCCTATTTCGTCCCTCTCTCGACAATAATCCGCTAGCGCTAGCTCTTGAGCCTCTATTAACTTAGTATTAGTCGGCGGCCGCGATAGGAGCGATAGACGGCCTCTTAATCGCTAGTATATTCGCGAATATAGGTCGGTTGCCCTCTTAATCCTATATACCTCTCGTATACTAAGATTGACTAATTTAGCCTGCAGTTTATAGTACCTCGAAACGACGCGTTCTACTACCCTTTCCGCCCTCTCCGTCTCGGTTAACCGCTTAGTACGCACCCTCTTCGCCTTTTTGCCTTTTTTACGCCCTATAGCTACGATTGTATACAATCCGTATAGTAGAAGAGAAGGAATAGGAGAATACGCGCTTTAGAATGAGGTGGACGCGCCTGCCAAGGATTACATAAGAAAATGGCGGCAGTAAGGTCTACAGCCACTACATACTCGGACAAGGCCATCTATATGATATTTGGACTCGCGGTTTATAACAGCATCCACCTGGATATCCGAATAGGACTGGAAAGTACGATTATATCGAGATTTACGTATGGCCTACTAACAAATCGCGATTTTACGTATAGCCCATTTCCCCGCGATCAGCGGGCGTGAAGTGACTGACGAAACCCCGGATATCCATTGGTCTGTCGTCTATGCTGAGATCTCTTTCCCTATGCAGCAGGTCAGGACTTCCGGCTGGAGCGCGGCAATAATTTCGATATATTACAGTTCGATCGAGCACAATCTTGCTGGCTTGCTGCATGATTGACAGCAGTCAGTCGTACAGGGAGAGGTAGAGCTTTGCCCGAAGCCAACGAGTGATCAGAAATGGCGCGATGTTCAACAATTGGTGATTGTCGCAGGCGTTGGATGCTTCTTCGTTGCCAGCTCCTCTCCCCGACAGTGGAGTAGAAAGCATAGGATATCTGGTGAAGTTCTCGCGGCCGTCGTCGACGATTATATATGTGGTGGGCGTCGTCCAGAAGCTTGCTCACAGCAAGCGAAGACGTGCCGTCTGGGACACGTGGAAGCCAGTGGGCCCTTCGGATCGGCCATGCACTGCATAAGGGCGCATTCTAGCCAGAATGAGAGGCTAGCGTGGCACATGGCCGTGATGCTGCGTGCTACGAGCATACGAGAAGCGTGTACGGACGATAGTAGAAGCCCGAACGTTTATATTATATCTGACTTCCAGTAAAGGCATATTCTAACCCACCCTTTCGCCCGAGAGTTCTCGTCCCAAGACGATCTCGACTACCTACTCCTTCACGCAAAATCCCAGAAATCTAGTCTTCTCCCACCAAGCGAAACCACCCGTGGAAGAGGGCGTGCTCGGAGATGGAGTATTGTTCTGAGCGTCGGCTGCGCAACCTTTGAGTCAGAAAGAGGGGAGGGGCATATAATGGATCTTTCTTGTCATGGTGGAGCTCGAGAATGGACTGCGAACTGCGAAGTTGGATAAGGAAGGCTGAAAGTATGCTACTATGTCATTGTGGAACAACAGTACGTGTCAGAAAATCTGGAAGGTGGGCAGTATCCGTGGAATCGAATTATTGTCGAAGGAAGGTCTTGTGGTGACGAAAGGTGGGTGAGTCTAAGGTTGATAGGTATAAAAGAGCTTGGGGAAAGGATGTGAGATGCTTTCTCTGTCCGACGTGATGGTGGGAGTTAGATGCCAGCGACGGGAGAGATATTTATATCTGCTGCTTCAGTCAGCGAGAAGAGCAGAGCAAGAGCAAGTCCAGAAGCGACAAAGGGAGATTCATTCAGAGAGCCAGATATCTGGGCGACGGTAAAGCAGTGAGGACATCGTATTTCATACATGTACCGATTCAGTGGCTCATGACGGACTCGAGCATCCACTTTCACACTCCATGATCTCGACCCGAACCTCCTCTTTCTCATTCAATGGCCGATATTCCTTCATTGATCTATGCCACGGCGTCCTGATCCTCGAACTCTTCCGCATAGTTCGACAGATCGACCAAGCCACTAATAAAGCAAGCAGCGTACACAAGACAAATCCTCCCACGAAAGCGATCCCAGTGCTCTGATAGACAAGCCTCTGCTTCCCGTGTTTGGAAGTAGACGCACGAACCCCGTCCCCAATCTGCTGTAACCACAACTCCTCCGCTACAACCTCAGACGTAAGCATATTCTGAGCCGGTAAATTTGTCAAGATTTGCGAGCGACCGTTTTCTAGAAGATTGCCATTCTTATCCAGCGCTTCAATGAGCACGAATTTTGCATATCCGTCATACGAGATTGTGGTCTCAAACCCGGTCCTCGTCTTGCTGGCAATGAGACTCGTGGCTTCAGCATGTCCAGTTGCATCAGTGCGGTAGAGGTTCCAGGTTGCGACTTCAGTCGCTCCATTCCAGCTCACGTAAACGTTCATCATTGTAGAGTCATCTGTGCGCGTGAATGCGTGGGAGAGAACGTCAGGTGGGTCGAGAGGTCGTCCAACGAATGGGAACTTGTAGCTACGGTATGAGCCGAGCCATTCTGGTAGCGTTCTGGCCTGCATTAATAGCTGTCCATCTGGAGCGTGCTCGCTGTGGAGAGACGATTCGGACTAGCCCATGAAGACGTTATTGTTTGGTAGGAGTTGATATGAGCCTCGTCGATTCGTGTAGCCTTGATCGGGATGATCGTAGTGAGAGATGATATCGGCTGTCATCTTGACAGTGTTCAGAGATATATGCAAGCCTCGAGAATAAGCGCTCGTAGGTCGCTTTGGATCCTCTCCCTTCGCATTGTCCATGAGGGTGATACCAGTATGTGTCTCGTTTTGAGAGCGGCAACGAACATCGTGCTGTCGAGAGAAGTTCACATTACTCGCATCGAAGTCATTCTTACGTCCACCAAGGCGCCAGACGATCGATCCAGTCTCTTTCGAAATCTTATAGATCGTGTCGGTGTGTCTGGCAGATAACAAGATATCGCCATCGGGACATTTGTCAACAGCATTGGCGTGAAGAAAATCCCATTCGTGCTTGCAGCGATCGGTTGCTGGCCCGTACTTGAAAGAGGTATCGTCGAAACCGATGTGGTCGTAGCTCGTCCAGTTCCAAACAGGTTCCCAAGTCGCGGTGTCAAGCTCAAGAATGCCGTGAAAGTTGGCCTCGCATTTGCCATTCTCTAAACCAGTCACTCTGGAAAGCTCCTCGGAAGCATTCACCACTCCTCTCGTGATAACCAGAGCATGTTTCCCGTCATCGATAAAGTTGAGATCGTGCATGTTGAGACCGTCGATGGGTACATCCTCAACGATACGGAAAGCATCATCTAATAGTACAGCTTCACGAACCTCCGGCCTGATCATGGATAGTACCTTAGTATCGCGAAAACTGCTAACTTTGAAGTCCATAGCACTCATGTGTCCGAACAGCTCCGCTCCGCTCCAGATAAGCTCTCCTTCATCATCGTATATATGCGGTCCTATCCAGCCTTTGCCAGGACTTTTCTGATCGATGTGCTCATAAGGTGACATAAACCAGTAGCCAGGAGCCAACTTCTCTCGGTCGTATATTGAGATATTCCATTTAGGTGCCTGTAGATCAGGTCTCTGAGGGCCATTGTTAGTCGCTGCAATTTTCCAGGTCCCTGGACCACTCTCACGGTGATGTAGTTGTTGAGTTTATCGGCTTTCGCTGGCCATTACGAGCTGGAGTAGTAAAGGAATACGAAAGCAGTGAAAGAGAAGTGACAGCGGTCAAGGATCAGTGACCAACAACGACGACATCCGCAGAGAGCTTCGCGGTGGGAGTTGGTATGGGAGTTCCGGTGCAGAGATCTGCCGTCTCTGCATCAGTCAGGAGCGCGGAATTCTGTCTCTGGTGCCGAGCATGGCCGACCTCTGGATTTGCTCTGCGACAAGGAGACATCCCATTTGTTGGCGCTCGTTCATGTACAGCGAGACCTCGAGCATGGTTGAATTCAACGTTAGCGAGCAGAACTTGCAGAAGTGTGGACAGGAGAAAGGTTGTTCAACGCGACAGTGCTTGAACACATGATTTCGGGGAAAATCGGCCCGAGCGTATTCGTGATGGGTTTCAGACGCGTTATCGCAGAACTATTATATGCAAGCGCAGCCTTGACAAGATCCAATTCGCGGACCTTCTCGACGTCTCTGGTCATCTGTGAAGACTCGCAGTGCCAGAATTCCCACTGTTGGCTCATCTAACCTTCTTCTCCAAGCTCAAGGTAGGAACATTCAACCTCTGTCGAGGCCCTCCGAAGAGTAGTCCGGCTCAGTCAAGCAGTCAGACGCAGTAATGCAACTTGCTCTCATTGTATACACCTCCCATCTTGTCGCCTGACAATATCCTCCATCCTCGACTGATTCTTCGCCGAGCTTGGCACAGACTGTAACGTAGCCACTATCCATGCGCAGGCTCAACCCTTTTTAGATCACTTAGACTCCTCCGCACGGACGTCTGCCAGAAACCTGTCGACCACATCTCCGGGTCGCATTGATCCATAGATGTGGATTTTGTAATCATGTCCAGGCCTGCGATCAATGACGCTCATCTTGGGAGGCGCCCTGGCTGGTCTGCGACTTGTGGGGCAAGATGTAGGAAACACTCGATGTTACGGAGTCCCTCCAAGTCATGTTTCGCATCTGAGAGTGATACATTGTCGCTTGCTAGGTGCGGAACTCCCTTCATCAGTGGTTCGCCAAAAGGCAAGCATGAGTCGAAGTCAACAATGACTGGCCGGCCATCCTGATCGATGCAGACATTGTCTGGTGTACTATCAGCGAAAAGTGCTCTGCGCAACGGAGACGACTTTGAACTTTGCTACTGTACCGGGGTTGAGATCGTTATGCGCCAAGCCGAGGGAATGAAGATGTCTAATCCCATCCTCGATGTTGTCGCGCAAAAGCTGCCGTTCAGTATCGGGCAAGTCCCCATCTTTGAGCTCGGTCAGAGTACGAGGATACCGCTTCAGGGTTAGATGAGTGATGCGTTTGTTTCTGACCACACACCCGAAATACGTGACGATGCTGGGGTGCGGATGCTTCATCAGCCGCTCAAGCACGGCAGCTTCATGCAAAAAGCAATCTGCCACAAACGTATTGCCCGGAAGTCGGTCATCGTACGTGAACTGAGGTGCCTTGAGATAATGCTTCGAGGCATCGAAAGCTGGAGCAACGGTAAAGTCATTAGGCATCAATGGGAATATGTTCTCGGTGGGGACTGGGTCCAAGTATTGGAGCACGTCCGCATCATCCATCTCACCAGCTCGCTCTGAAGATCTGCCCGCGTACGCATTGCCGTCAACGAATGCAGTAATGTGCGTGCCTCGAAATTCGGGATTGCCTTCATCTTCTGACCAGATCTCACGCAAAGAGAACTGTGAGCCATCGGCAGTCTCATAGTCCATGTTTGAGCATCACCGAGATTATTATTCAGCGAGTGCGTTGTCGAGGGTAACAAGAAGGGGAAGCAAAGCAACGGGAAGTGTTGTCAGCACGCGAGCATCCCTGCGCAAAGCCAAGAAGAGAACGCGCTAGCAGACTCTAAACTTGGGCCGAAACAAACATGTGTCCTTGGAGAGGAGATCACGAACTTATGAGTTGTTCCTCTCAAGCAACATTGGAAACAAGTGAAATTCTCGACCGAGAAACAGAGCTTACTACGTCACTTCGACTTCAGCTGCTGCGAAGGAAAGACATGAAAAGGACTTCCACCGTTTCTCCAGCGCTCGACTTTCGGTGTAGTGTGTGGCTGCTACAATCGTCCAAAGCTGTGAAACGTGAAAACATGGGTGCCATGTTATCCGGCTGTGCATCAGTTCGTATTATGCATCTAGAAAGCCCTCATCATCGTGCAGGCGCTCTATGCATCAAGCTAGCGTGGTCTCTGAGAACTATTTGACTTCGACAATTACTCACCACACCCTGCTGTCTCATACAAACAAGGTGTCCGAAGCACTGTTGTATAGCTTGATGATATCGGCCAGCCTCTTTGATTCGCGCACGAAGTCGATGTTGTTGGCGTACTGGACTTGGTAGCGAACTCTGCAACAATGATCAGCACATGTCTCCACATTCGCGAGAAAGATTGAATATACCGCTGTTGGTCCTGGTAGTTGTCCATCTTACACCTGCACTTGAACACAAAGCTCTTGCAGTTCGCGTCAGCGAATGCATCAGTCACTCTCTTTTCATCGCCCTCCTCCTTCGCTACCATGAGCTCGTTGGCAGGCATTCCCAGCATAGCTTGTCCGACGTCGTCGAAACAGCTGAGCCAGAGTTGTCCGGTATGATCGCTGACGTTGACGCTCATGATGTAGCGGTACTTGGGCGCATCCCAGTTTTTCTCGCATTTCTCGCATCGCCAGCTGCCATTATCGACCTCGGTCACTTTCTTGTTGCAAGGTTGGGGATCAGTGGTCTGGCATGCAGCATATGCAAAGTTGTCTTGCTTGATGTAGACGATAGTCGCTTTGAGCGTGAACCAGTCCGTAGCATCAGTCATACCCAGGTTCTCGTCACGAACCTGTTGGATGGTCTTGGTGTCGTCCTTGCGACCTCCAGACGTGGCACCAACAGTGGCCATGGTGTTGGCATGCGATGCGAATTGTGTTGTGCTGCCGTTGGCTTGGTACCAGCCTTTCAGCTTGTAAGCCTCGTCGATATCTGGATCGATGTTCATGCTTCCGCTGGACAGCAAGGACAATGATCGACCACCAAAATCGCTGACCTTGACTCCCTTGAACGCTACAACAGCTTCGGGAGAAGCATCAAAGGACTCAGCAACCTTGCCCCAGATAGTCAGGCGGACATTGTACCCAGTGTCGTCCACCAAAGTAAGCTCTCGCTTGCTGTAGGGCTTCGATGTAGTTTTCGACACGATCTCATTGACCTCACCGACATCTGCAAGCACACCAATGACGTCGGTCACAGTGTCTTTCTCGACATTTTGGAGCGATTCGAGATTCGTGAAGCTGTACTTGACCTGCGGCACGCCTTCATCATCGGCTTTCTCTACCTGCGTGTCCCGCTCGAAAGTCAATTCGTAGTCGTTCGGCAGGTTCGAGAATTGCTTCTTAGCCAGCTGGACTTTGCATGGGCTCGAGATGTAGTATACAGAACCCTCTTGCAGCACGTCGTACCACTGGTCGCATTGCTCGTTGAACATGGTTGCTCGAATCTCGCTAGTCTCGTCCAAGAAGTTAGCGCTAAACAGCTTACCTTCTCCGTTCTTGTTGTGCCATGTCTTGATATCGCCTTTTGATGTGCATCTTGCCTTGATTGTCCACTTGTGCTGATATGGCGAGACAGCTTCGATGGGCGTGATATTGCCATGTGCGCCGCCATGAGAAGCACCATTTGTCCGCGAAGGCAGTGACCGCTGCTGCTGCTGCTGTTGTAGTTGCGCCTGCTGTGGCTTCTGACCATAGAAGTTGTTTCCCGCGATGTTCCCTGGCTGTGGCTTCACGTCCTCTTGTGCTTCAGGCTTCGCTGCGTCCAACGCCACCGGTGAACCCAGTTTGTCCTGCTCGCCATACTCGTGCAGTACATCAAGATTCATGATGATCAGAATGTGCTTGTCCTTGACGAAGTTTGCTTGGTACTGTGTGAGTCGGCATACGCTGCCTTTCTTGAGATGGCCGTCGGTGATTAGATGGTTTGATTCTATAGAATGCGTTAGCTGCGGCTCCATTTGAAGACTAGGTTGTTCTCCGCTGCACGTACGCGAGGATAGCATGCCCTGAATGAAGTTGACGGTGTCGTTGAAGACAACCCGCCACCGTTCTGTCCCACCAGCGCCCTGGGCCATGGGCTTGATCTGGACGCACTGCAGGATGGGATTCTCCACGGGGTTGCCCTCGGTAATTTGGCGGAGGGCGCCATGAGTGATGGCATTGAATGCGTCGGTCATATTGTCGTCGCCAGCGATGCAGTGAGTGCGGGAGAGAAAGGGCGACAGCGACGTCCAAAATTGTCGTTATTGATGGCGCGCTGGCCTAAGAAACATCGCGTAAAGTGGGATGAGAGCGCGTCGCGCTCATTACGTAATGTGCTTGGCAAGAAGCACGTGACACGACTTCTGTCCTCGCATCTCCCAGCGATACCGCATTTTGCCCTGGTTCGACTTCTTGAGTCCTCAAAGGCGATCTCAGCTCGAAGCAGTCACGCAGAGGTATTCAATATATGTTAACATTGGCCTTCCAAGACATGTAACCAAGCCAACGACCAGCATCCCACGCCGAGATGGCGATTCACGGTACTTGAGGTCTTCAAGGCAAACCTCTGGAGATGAGACATTACCTGTGGCCAAAAGAAATTGCATTTCACAACAGCGGAACAGCCACTTTCGACATTGAATCCCCCATTCAGTAAATCAGCACCACACGAACCAGCTGTGGCCGCTACCTGCAGCGGCTACATGTAACCCGCGATCCTGCCTCCACTTACTTGCACCTCGATAGTATCAGCGCATTCAAGTATCACCGGCAGGATCGATGTGTTCCACAAATGCTGCGGCAGACGCCCCTCGCTCGCATTCCCAAAATCATCGCGATCACCAACACACCACCACATGCCTCGGGGCTCCATTTGTATGCCATATCTTCCGTCTGGCAGCTTTGCCATGATTTGGCTGAAGTCCACCTGCTTCACTAGAGGCTCGCCAGGCTTCAGAGTTACCAGAGCCTCCAGCTTTGGCCGAGTGTCTTCCATTTTCTTGGGATTAGAAGCACCGCCGCATGGCCCAGGTTTCGAAGCTTCCAGTATTACCTCTCCGTTTTCAACGTTGATGACTCGAAGAGATGAGGCAGGTGCTGGCAGATGTTTATCGACAATGCGTGGCCGCCCATCATCTGTTACCTCCCCTTCTGCATCAAACATCGGTCCTTTCGCTACGAGGAAACGCTGACGCCCGCGTGCCTGCACAGTGATCGGTTCTGAGCCAGTATTTGTCACGCTGATTTCAAGCTGCGCGGGTCCTTCCCTTTCTTCGCCGGGCGCAGAGGGACAAAGTCGCATCCGAGTCTGCAAAACTGGCGGAATTGGCACTGACGAAATGGACCTGAAGAAGGCTCTTCCATGAGCCACGGTGGTGAGTGCCTTCGGCTTCTCGTTGACCTGCTGCTGTATGTCGACCGCTTCTGCCTGGGGAAGATACTCGTATGAAGAAAAGGATGTGTCCTGATATGCTGGATGGACTCGCAAGGAGTACCTCTTTCCGACATCAAAAAGCGAGGCAAGGATGGTTGCAGGCTTGATAATGTACTCATAAACAGACATGCATCGCTTCCAGTTCTCCGTTCGCTCAACGGGTGATGGAAGAGTGACCGAAATGGCCTCATTATCAGGTGTGTGAAGCATCCGACTCACGTCGACCGGCACTTCTCGATCGCTTTCATGCACATGTAATGTGAGCATTCCTTTGGCAAGTGCATATGGTACGTCTAGCACAGATTGGTGGGTGTGGAGTATCAAAGGTCTGGGATCTTTGTCTGATGGAGCTTTGCGGACGAGCCCGAATACTATGCTGAATGGCACAGTTCCAGAGAAATCGAAGACGCGGTATCGAGCGTTGAGCTGAATCTGCACCGCAACGTGGTCGCCATCTTCCTCGACAGATCTGGTCTTTTTCTTCTTTCCTTCGAAAAGAGCGGCCACTTCGTCGATGGCTTCGGACTTGCTAAGATCGGTCATGTTGATGAAATGAGGAAAGCAGGTTGAAGGACATGGCATAGCGAAGAAGGCACTCGACCATTTCTTGGCAGCGTCGGATGAGTCACCTGGTGCCTGCAGCTGATATTGTGCTACACTCATCGCGGCGGAGACGATTCCGGCACCATACGATGTTGGTATTTTGGTATTGTGGGTATTGTTGGTACAACCAGGGGTGCGGCTGAAGTGGTAAGGTAAAAGTTCACACAGCCTCAGCCTGTCGCGTTAGCTGTACGTCACAGATGCATCATTGCCCGGCGACCCGACTACTCGGCCAGACTCCATGTACATTTCCATTGTGCTTGACAACGACAAGCGTGTCTCGACAGCATCGACAGTGGCCTTTGCGAATGTTCGGCAATCACTGAATCGCTAGCATGATCAACTTGCAGTGGAGAAACGATCGCACAAATGGGGCATATGGAATTGCAGCTTCCGAAGATCAGCCTGCATCAATATATTCCAAGGCTATGCACTGGAGGATGCATCGCCCGGGTCGTGCACCCTCTGCTCACGAAACCACTCTACTCCCCGGGACGTTACGCTCAAGCCTGATTGACCATGTATCTCTAGTCGTCGTACCCAGCCTGGTAGAGCCCCATTAAATCCGTCCGCAGCTGACCGAATTAGCCATGTAAATATCATTCGGAATCGATGCGGACATGGCACAGCTACTGCTCCCATCGCATCAGGATGCCCTATCCACACTTTTTGGATGGTGGGTTGTACAACAAGGATTTCGATATCGCTCGGGAGCGAGACGACACCTTCAGCACCGATAAACGCCGGTCGGTCGATACTTGTAGCTGACCATGATGGCGGCAATGTATAAAGTCGATGCTGTTGACATGTCCAAGTACCCCCAAGCAAATGCCCGCATTTCCCATTACTCCTTCGAGATCAACAGCCTTTCCAGCTCCTGAACCGCAAGGTCGTCACAGTCAAGATGTACTTAGCCGCGGGACTCCTCGCAGCATGCTACCTTTCATCAGTTCATGCCAAACCACTCCCTTCCCCATCCAAGGTAGTCGACAAACGGGCGGATCCCCCAGCGCCGTCAGCATATCCGCTCGGCGACGCCTGTGGCAATGAATGGCAATACCTCAATTTCGATCCAGACGATAACACAGACAAAGGGCGCCTACGGAAGCTTCACGATGTAATCTGCATAGGAGAACTCCGAGCTCTCTCGTCCTGGGGAGCAAAGGCGGCCAAAGATGCCAAGACCTCGATCAACGAGGCCTACGACCTATACTTTGCCACCGAGAACCCGGACTCTCGAGACGTCGTGTACGATGTTTTGATGAAGATCGCAGGGCAAAGTAGCTCTGAAGGCAGGATTGGGAAGATTGTGGGAACAATGATCGTCGACAATCTTGGTAAGTGAGGACAAAATCTCTTTGCACTTCTCCGGCATCCGGAGCTAACATCCTCCTCCAGATTTTGGGGCCGAGACCAAAAACCAATGCGATGAAGACGGCAACACATTAGGTTACACAGTAGAGGACACCCTTGACAAACGTGAAAAGATCCACTTCTGCCCAGCAGGCTTCGATCTACCCACCTCCGGCCCCGACATTACATGCGGCAATCTCGAGAAATACCCCAGTGAGGAAATGGACACATTCTCTCGCCTCGCATTGCACGAGACACTTCACTACAGCACGATTGGTCCCGAATCATCCCTTGGGGAGCAGATCATCGACGCCAAGAACCCCGGTGACTTGGAGTACGCCTACTTCCCTGAGCGCACTCATGGTCTGGTAGATGACGATCAAGATGACAGCCCGGATTTGGCTCCTGTGAATGCGGATAGTTATGCTTGGATGGCTTTGACGGCTTGGGTTGGGTATAATTGTTCGCCGGGTGATGAGAAGGATTACTATGATAGTTATTTTCCGGATGAGCCGCCGCACTATATGTAGGAGTGAGTGAATTCCGGGATGAGGCGGTCTCAGAGCGGATGGCAATCTCGAATGGCATCAATGAATAACAGAAATCTCGAATGGTCGAGTCGACACTCGACGGTGCTATCTAGAGGTGCTCTTGATCCTCACTCTTCACATGCTCGGCTTTACGCTTCGTTGATTGCCATTGCTTATGGACCACATCCACGCTCAAGTCGCGAACGTGGTCGCCTAGAATCAACATCATCAGGACCATCTCCTTACAACGGAGGCATTGACAGGTCCCGCGCGTCGCAGTGCCAAAATGCTTGAAGGACTCAAACCCTATCTCCACTCAGACTAGTAACAAAGGGTGTTCGTGCATGTGACATAGAATCACGTGTTCCGCAGCAGACTTTTCTAAACCCGCAAGTAAACTTTCCAACCCCTATACTAATTAAATAACCTCCCGCATAGACTATACAATACCCTTTATTACTAGTCTAATCCGTTTCTATCGGGTTTTAGTACGCGTATATAGATAATCGTAGTAGTAGGCAGATACTATTAGCTATAATACTATTATATATCGGAAATCGCAAAATCCGCTACGGTAAAGCCCTACGTAGTTACGAAAACTATCTACCCCGAAAATCTAAAGAACTTAGGTCTACTACTTACTAGGGAAAATCTATATATACGCGAAAATCGAATATCGCTTGCTATATTAAAGCTAGACGCGTCTACCCTACTACGATCGTAAATCGATAAACTAACTCCGCAACGATCGAAACAATATCCGCGGCGGGTAAATATAATACCGCGAAGAAGCTCCTATAACTCTTATCTATCCCCGATACTATCCCGTCTAGCGCTCGTAGTCCTCCCGCCTAATATTATCGGCTAGGTATCGCAGCTCCGAGTTAGTAAGAGATGCGTTTAGAATACCGTAATACTCGAGCCGGTTTTAACGCCGCGAGTAGGGTAGGCTCTACGCGTTACGGGTTAGAGAAGGGCCGCGACTAGAGGGCAATTTATAAGAGCTAAATCGGGAAAATTAGCTCGGAGAATCTAGAATAGTTTCTAGCTAGGTAAGCTCTAGAAGTCCGCTACGCTATAGAGCATTCCCGTAGAGCTTTCTATAAGGGTCGTATATACCGATCTATAGGAGATTATTCGATTTATAGTTAATCGAATCTATAACTATACTCTTAAATCTATTTATACGATAGTTTATACTATCGACTATACCGATTTAGTCGACCTCTAATTCGATATTATCGAAGCTAGAATAAGGTAGATATTAAATCGATTATATAAACTATCTAAATAGCGGCCTAAGAAAAAGCCGCATCGGATCTAGGTTACTATACTACGGGCCTTAATTTACTAGCGATAGGATGTCCTATTTGTCGTAAAGACTAGTTTAGGTAAGAGCCTAATCTTCTAGGCTTTTACTATACTTACTAGATAGACTGCTATCTAGTTAGTGCCTCTTACTCGGCTTAGGGCGGAGCAAGAAGCGGACTTAAAGAAGATCGTAGGGGAATACGTTAATCCCGTACTAGTTACGAGTAAGGCTAAGCGACGGGATCTAGATTTGTTTACTAAAATCAGGGCGGGCTAGTACGATTATATTATTCTAGGCCCGGAGCAGGCCGTATCCGACGACTTTAAGGATACCCTAAAGGATCCGAATCTTTCCTTACGTATCGGGCTAGTCGTATTCGATAAAATTTATCTCCTCTCGAAACAGGCTAGCTTCCGCGAGGAATTCCTTATAGTCGCGTAGCTTAGGCAGCTTCTCCGCTAGGACTATATATAGTTTAGCTATACTAGAACCCTAGATGCTATAACCTAAGCCTATATATTAAATTATAGCGGGTTTAGACCGGTCGGGTACGAGCTATATTATTCTATAGTACTACGGACTAGTATCGATCGCGTTAACTATACGTATATTTTTAAAGAGTTAGATAAAAATACGAAGTCGGTCTATAGCTAGTTATATTTTGTAATCGAAAAGGCCGTAAGCCCCGCGGGCTCGCCTCTACCCGCTACGAGCTCGAATTTGTCTACTACTACGCTAGCTAATACGGGCGAAGCCTAGTCCGTAGCGGAGCAACGGGCTACGCTAGCGGAGATACTAAAGACTATTATCTTTATCGATAGTCGCCTAGACGTAATCGCGCTTATAAATCGCGTTCGAGCCTAGCTAGTACTTCGGACTAAAGACCTATATCGAGAAAACTAGTATTATTAGGGAAATAGGTCTAATCCTATACTAAACGTTCTTAGAATTGTCTAATTCTATATATCCGCTATACCTATATACGATTAGGACCTACGGTTTCGTAAGTTTAGCGTAGCGGATAGCACTATCTGTATTATAATTGCTACTACCGCCCTTAGCGTAGGCATTAATATCCGTATAGTGCAAATCGTTATCTAGTAGGGTCTTATATTAGAGTATAACTACCTAAATCTTCGCTAGCGTCTCGGGCGTACCGGTCGGAATATAGTTCCGAGTAATCTTCGTAGCGAGGTATTCGTATTCTAGCTAGCGTAGATAAGGAATACAAAAAAACGGCTTAGGGATTAGCCGGTAGAGGGTAGCAAGGTCCGTAGCGGACCTCGCGTCGCCCGTAAGGGTAAGTTCTAGACGTAGCGGGAAGGATTATACTTAATACTTAACGTCGATGTCTCGCTTAATAGTAATCGAGAAGATAAGAATACCGATACTAAGGACGGCAATTCCGCTACGCCTATAGCTTTACGCGCGCCTCGTATACGCGGTGCCTACTAGTTAAATGCTAAAGCGAGCCGCCGCGTAGTAGTCCCGGGGGATCTGCTTAATATATAGAATATACCGTATATTCGTAAAGTATAGGACGACAAGCTTAGCGAGGATAAGTGCTTAGACCCGAAGGTATCCGTATTAAGCGAAGTCTGCTATAATTAGTATAACTATAATATACGGAGTAAACTGCCTATACCGCCGGATAGGTAGAATAGCCTTCCCCGACTAGTACCTAATTCGAGGCCTAGTTTCGTATTTGCGCGGTTAACGGAGTAGTATATTACGGTTCTCGAGGATCGCGTAGCAGGGGAATATAGATTCAGAATGCTATAGAATACACTAATAGATAAGTAGCTTATATATAGCCTTTATCGGATCTACTAGGATTATTCGAGTATAGACTAGGATGCCTTCGATAGCGATATACTTAGAAGTAAGTTAGATTAGCTAGTAGTTAGGAGAAGGACAAAATATCGGATTAGGTATATACTCGACGTATAGGAGTACTACGATAAGACGATTACTTTCGGGAGTAGCGGAGTAGCTAATTCTAGCGGTAGAGATAGTAACGAATCTAGCGGTATCGAAACTATTACTCTTCTCGATCTCCTCGTCTAGTTTATACGGTATATTAAAGAAGATATAGTCTTAAAATAGATAGAGTATAAGGCGGCGTAGGTAGCGAAGGCCGCTACGGCTAAGGTAGTAAGCGCCGCAAAGGAAGCCGAAGATACGTTACTTATAGAGATACTAGACGACTAGCGCTAAGCGTATCTACGGTCTACGTAGGAGAACAATATAAATATAGCGGCGTTAGCTATCGCTAGTTAAGGACGCCGAATTTAGTAGAGGAGAGTACCGGAAACTAGTAGTATAACTAATTTACGGAAAATAGCGCTAATAAAGAGTATACTCGAGGTTAGAGAATAGGCTAGTAGCGGCTCTAATTAATCCTACGGCGGAGATAGTAGCGTACCTACTAGATCTATAGTAATTAATAGGTATCGATTTTTATAAGGGAGTCCTTCGAGTATATAGGATACTACTATATATCTAGTGTCGGGCCTAACGGGGCAGTAGCGACTAGAAGTAGCGAGCTTCGACTCTAGGTATGTATTAGAGTTCCTACTAGATACGGACCTAGCCCTCTCCGCTACGGAAGAGCTATTACCTACGAGGGCCGCTAGATCGAAGCGTAGGCGACCTAATATACCTAAATCTGCTTCTGATATAGGAACACTATCGAAAAAACGTCGTCGTAAGGAGCCTCCCGAGCTAAAGATACTAATCTATAAACAGTCCTATTTTAGTAGGATATACTAATATACTACGTCGCCGTCTAGTCGCTCGCTACGGAATACGAAGGTCCCGTAACGGGCAAGATAGTATTTTAGGGTATTAGATCTAGCTCTAGCTCTAGTTTTAGAGTAGACCTTTATTTGCTCCGGTATAGAAGACTTAGATCGCGCCTTCTTTAGTCGTCTTATTTCTAGTTATATATAGCTTTATTTCCGCTACGTATAGCCTAACTTCCGCCGTATATACCTTATTCTACTATTATACGTATAACGTATATAACGCGTTTATTCCGAACTTTACTTTATACGCTATCTGTACGCGTAGTAGCTATATTTAAAAGGACGCTTCTTCGACTTTTTCTCCTTCTCCTTCTTCTATATATATATATAGCGATTACTACCTTCTACTACTTTCGACTACTTCTAATTAAGACTTTCTAAACAAGATTATTAAGTCTTGCCCGTAGCGGTGCCCTCTTTATCCGCGTTAATAGATCCGCCTCCCTCTACTATCTCTAAATAAGACCTCTAAGCTTCCTATTAACGAATCTCTAATTATATTTAAGACCTCTAAGTCGTACGATATATTAGGTAGTAATAGCGGCGGCGGTGCTCCTCGCGGCGGCGGTACTCCTTACGGCGGTAGTGCTCCTTACGGCAGCGGTACTCCTCGCGGCGGCGGTACTCCTCGTAGCGGCGGTGCTCCTCGCGGCGGTAGTACTCTAAGCGGCGGTAGTGCTCCTTGCGGCGGTAGTGCTCTAAGCCGCGGTAGTAATACTCCCTATCTCCTAACTTATAGCCGCGGTAGTAGTCGCTATCTTTAATTTCGAGGACCTACTCCTAGTAGCGATACCTTATCTAAGTTCTCGAATCTAGGAGGCTACGCGGAATATACGCGTCGTCTTACGGCGTTATCTACTCTACTAGAGCCGAGTTAGATC